CGCGGGCAGCGACCCCCGGGCCCTGCCGCCGCAGCCATCGGCGGGCTTGACAGAGCTGTGGCTTTCGAGTCGGCAGCTCACCCTCAGTAGTTCGCTAATGAATGTAACTAATGCAGAGATTAAACGGAGATCTGCCCGGTTTTATTCGGAGATTTTCCTCAGCTGAGCAGAAAAAATGTGACTCACAGAATAGTGACTGCATCTGACCGGTGTGAAAATGGACGGACCATCCCAAGTGGTCTGAACACAATACACCTTCCCCATCACGGAATTTCACACCCATGTTGTTTACAAACTGCACTCGTGTCGTTCATGTGTGCAGCTGTAGGTGTATATTTGCACTTGGTGCGATGATTAAATAGTGCTTAAAATTGCCATTTATTTGTATTGATTTAATGTAAACTCGGTGTTTTGCATCAGGTGTGCGTATTTGCTTTCATTAGTGCAAAGATAACAGAAAGCTGAGCATCTACACAAAGTTTACTTTGCTTTATGTGCTCAAGCATAAATTTTCATAATAAAACACGCTGCTGTTACCATTCATTGATGTTATCTCAAGTAGAGAGAAGCATGAGTAACGTTAAATTGTTCTGAATGGATACATTTCACTTGCACTGGTTTGAATGCTGAACTACTGACAGCACATGTGAAATGGTACCTGAAGTTTCTTTTTCTGTGGGACATAAGTGAATGATGGCACCGTGCTCCACCCAGGATAGAGGTTTTCTATCTGTGAAGTTATTTTTTTTTGCTTTTCAGCACTCAGATTTTCCAATATTCTTGCCCGGGTCCATGCACATTAACAGCAATACACCTGTAAGAGGCTTGTGTGACAACTAAGGTGACAGCACCACATCACCATCTCAGTGGCAGGTTTCTTAGGGGAGCTGCAACCCTGCATGCAGTGTTGTGCTTTTGGGAAGCAGAGACTGTATTAGGAAGGAGAACGGTTCTTGTCACCTGCGTGACGAGTAGTTATGTGGCTCTTGGGAGACTCAAAACATGGTCCTTCGTGCCTGCAGCACTGACGTTTATAGCAGGGGAGGTGCTGAAGCCCTGTCTGGGATGGTGAGGGCTCACCCCTGGGACAATTCCAGAGCAGTTCATATTCCAGGAGAAGACATTGCCACCTTGGCCATAATGCTGTGTGAAAGTTCTGGTTCTGCAGTGGCCAGGAGACACAAAACCTGCTTGGCTGCACTGAATTCAGCAGGGAATAAACTGATAATGTAAGGCAGCTTGTATAGACATGTATAGTTCCTCTCCATGTGTTTTATGAAGTTAAACACAAAATGTATGGTAGGTACAACTCTTTAATGCTCATAAGTTAATTAATTCCTCAGAAATAAAGTGACACATGAAAACTGTAAACTTCTTGTAGGATGCAACAATAAAGTAATCACCCTGGCAACAATAAAGTAATCACCCTGTTGGATTGTCACTAGTGTTGTTCTTGCTGCTACTTCAAGTCTTTTCATAATTACAAATACATGTTTATCCACTTACTTTTGCAGTTAATCTGCTGTAGATTTTCCTCTGATTACTTTTACTCATCGTGTTTCTATGTTAAAAGTATCCTTGACCGATTTTGAGTTGTGATCTAAAAGTAACAGAAAATTATTATGGATGTTTTTTAAAAAATTACTTAATTTTAATCCCTGTTAATTGGAAAGGCTGAAAATTGGCTAATCAGACCAAGATGCTTGTCACTGAGACTTACAAAAGCATCATCAGACACATAACTGGTAAAAGGAAAAGCTGTTCGCTATGCAACATGGTATATTCAGTGTTATGCTATAAGCATAGTTATATAGTTATAGAGGCGCACTATAAACATCTCCTTTAAGCTATAAAGGTGTATTTTAAGTTCACACTTATCCATTTGCTTCCATGGAGGAATTTCATAAAAAGTGGACAAATCTCTTGCACAGACTAAAGGAACCGACAACTGCTTTTGTCAGCAGTAACTTAAAAGGGCTCTTTGTCTTTCTGTCAGGGAGGAGTTGGTGGCATCGCAGGGGATGAAGCCTGGCCCCGTGATGCATGCTTATTCTTCACAGTTGTTCCATCAGAAGCTGATCCCTGGAGAAGCTGGAAGTCCACCACAAGGAAATCTCATGTCCAAACAGATCTGGCTTAATGCTTAGTCTCTGGGGCAGGATCTGTGCCACAGGGCACAGGGCAGAGCGCCTGCATGTGCAGATGTAATGAACTGATGAACATGTTGGTCTGTGGTTTATGTTCACTGTGATTTTCTCTCCCTGGTGGTGCGTGGTCCATGCAATGGGTGCATGGAGCTGCCCAGGTCCCCAGCAGAAATAAAGTAGATGCAATGACATTTCACGAGCCTTGTTCCTGCTCATAAGTAAGATTCCTCCATCCTTCCCTGCTGGTGCTGGGCCATGGGATGGGTGGCTGTGGACCTGTGGCAGGGCAGAACTGTGGGCAACTGGGACGCTTTGAGGCGAAACAGAAAAATACCTTTTTTGGGGGGGAGAGGAGGGGTGATTCCAGGGGAAGGGCTTAGTGATCATGTTTTGAATATAAGCACCTCAATTGCACATAAGCCTTGTTCTGGGCACAACGGATTTTCATTGGATAAAATCTTTAGGTGTTAATTAAAAAATGACACCTGACCTCAACGTACAGCTTGATTAAAAAGAAATACTAGAAAGATGAACTATTTTTTAGTAAATAGGTGCATATTAAGTCAGTAATTTTCAGTCTTGAAGATGGCAAGGGCAAAAGGGATCTGGATGGAGGTATTTAGAAATAACATAGGGCTTTTGGTATAATTATAACTTGCAAAAACCTTTTTTATCAGCAATATTGCCCATTCCCTGGTCTAAAGGCAATACCCACAAGGCTGAGTGTCGACATGGCATTTTCCTTCGGGGGTTGCCAAGGTTATTCATTGGGTCATAAAGAGAAACTTTGCCCTTTCATGAATCTGAGCTAGTCTCCCTGTGTTCGTAACAGAAATGCTTTTGCTTTGGTATTCATATCGACTTGTACATAAACATAGGCACACATTTGGTGTCATTTAGTTGGCCTGAACAGCACTTCTGAAGCATGTGGGTTCCTACAACTCCCATTCAGATGAAGCTAATGTCCAAGAGAGCAATGCAGTTGGTGTTCCCATCAGTTTGCCACTGACCCTGGGTGGCAGCAGGCAGGCGTCAAGGTGGCTTGGACGCTTGGTAATCATGTAGAGACCAGACCGTAACATGGCTACAGCCCTTTAGCAGCAGTACTAAATTACTACTGTTGGTTTTGGCTCCTCTGTTGAGCGATTGCACAGAGATGGGTTTTCACCAGCTTTTCTCCCCTTGTTTTCCTGAATATTTTTCTATGGAATATTACACCTATGTCAAACTTCAGCGAAAAGATAAGCATTTTGCTGTCAGTTTTACAAGACAGCAGCAGCACTCTTCATCTTCTCCAAACATTGACTTACTTCTGGTCAGCAGTCATTGTTTATATTTTGCATTGCACAGTCTTAATGAACAACTAAAGCTAATGACGTAAAAAAAAGCTGCAGTTTGCTTTGGCACAACTATTTCATAGGTGTATCAGAAAAAGTCTTAAAGTCTGCCTTGCACCTAGCACCTGTTCAAACTCTGATAGCAAGTGACTATGTTCAATATTTACTTTATACTCTTCCACAAAATACCATGAAAAAAACAAAATTAATAAGTGTCTTCAAGGTT